TAGCCACAGGGGAGGGCCGGTTCGGGGGAGGGAGCGAGCGAGGAAGGTGGTGGGCCGGTGAGGAAGGCTGAAGCGGGGATGCCGAGGAGACTGGGCGGCCTGGGGTCAGCCGGTCCGCACCGGACCGGTAAACGGGGACAAGGAGGAGCGGGAGAACTGGGCGGCCTCGGAGAGTCCGGACTTGGCCCTGCCCTGCTCTGCTCCTCCGACAGCTGCTTGAGCCACAGCCCCCCGGGCACTGGGCGCTCCTCGCCGCCTCCGGGTGCGTTGGGCTGAGGTGGTTGAGGACAGCAACCGTGCCCGCCGGGACTAGGCCGGCCTATGCTGGGGCAGTTGGGCTGTTTCAGAGGCTGTTGAATTGCTGTCACAGGCTTTGCTTAGCCCGGCGCCCTTGAGTGCTTTGCCGGTTTCCTCGTTCGGTTCCTCTGAATAGTTTCTGATTATTTTTTTTCGTTCCCCAGCCAAATTCAGTGCTCGGCAGTCTCAAAGACACTTAAAATTACTCTTTTGCTGAAAAACAGTAGAACAAGCACTCCAGTAAAGGGGATGTTGTAGTTTTACTTTATACTTTTAAATCTACATAGATTATCTGAACTAAGAAGGCACCAGCTGCAAGGAGAACTTGTGAATACAGAACCTCTATTTGCATCAGACTAGTTTAAATGTGCTATTTACATGAGGCTACTGAAATGTTTCTTTTTAGGTGTTAAATTACTCATACCTACTGAATCAGCATTAAAATGTCATTTAATCGAGACAGAGTTCTATTTAATTTGGTTGCAGTATAATATAATTTCCTGAACTTTGTTAAATTTAAACCTTGAAGATTACTTAAATTTAGAGATCTATATTCTCATTAATTCTGAGCAGAATCTTATATGTGAGCCTCCCTCCTGTTTTTTCCTTCTAAACAGCATATAATTAGCTATCACAATATTCTCATTATGTAGATCATCCCACTAAGTTCAGTAATGCTACTCACATAGTGCTTCTCATCACTGAAAATTTTCACTTCCTACTAATTACCTGAGTCTTATAGAAGTCGAGAGCCTTTTTTTAATTTTTGCACTCTTTGACATTCCTTTAGTGTTTTCTAAAGTTCAGACTTTACCACATCTGCATCCTTTTCCCAGTGTTAACCATCCTGTGATAGCTGGCCTCTGAGATTCTGCCAATAATCTTTCTTACCTAATGAGTGATGGTCAAGTGCTCCATGTAATCAAGCCCTTCATCATTGTCAGCTGTATCCCCAGCTGTCAATCTTTAAAATTTGGTAGCTTCCTTTACTTGGACTGTAGGACTATAAGATCTCAAAAGTACACTTGGATTTTCTTGAGTTTTCATCCCAAAAAAAGCCTCTAAAATTGAGTGGAGCCTTGCAGTCCTGCCCAATCTTGCAGTTACATCTCTTGATTACGTTGAAGAAAGGCAGTTTAATGTCCCATGCTGAGTTTTCTGCCTGTGCTCTTTAACATTGTCACGAAGTGGTTCTGAACACGAAAACTGAAAAACTTTTCAAGTGAGCAACCTTCAAATTGAGTAGCCCTATCTAATGCATCTTCTGTAGCTATTTCCTCCAGAGACAGTAGCTAGCACCTTCTGTGAGTATCTAATATAACCTGATACTTCAAACAGCATCTAATACCTTTTTTCCTGTCAGGCCCAAGTTTCCAGTCTGTTTCTGTGGTTTTCACTATCTCCAGTTTGCTAATGACAGACTGTCCTTCCTGTTGTCTCTGTAGCATTGATTTCTAGAACTAGTTTTCAAAAACATCTTATGAAAGGGATGTTGAAACTTTGTTTCGGGTCATCAGTCTCTTCACTTTAGCTGCAGACTTGCACTTGAGAATACTGGGATGTTTTCAAAATACTGGCAATACTTCAAGCAGGTCACAGTGATTGTTCTGTAGTCCTCTGCACCTGCCAGCTGGTTGAGGTATGTTCCTATAGCAAGCAAAAAAGCAATGCTGTCTAAACCTCCTCCAATTCTGTCTGCTTAGCAATTAACTCCTACGTTGCCATCACTGCTAAGCGTTCTCTAAGGAGGGGGTCTCGGTTCCACCCTGCCAGTAACTGGCTTTCACCAATCCCTTTGGTGATCGGAGCAGAACTGAGACAGCAAAAAGCAAATGACAGAAATCCTATTTTAAACTTTTTTTTTTTCCTAGTTCAGCTCAAGGAACTGGCCTGCTCTGCGTCACACAAATGTCACACAAGAGAGGGGATGCACTCACAGTAACTCCAATTTAGATTATTTTAGGCTAAACTGGATCTTTTCCTTAAGAGAAATCATACTGCTATCAACTAAATCAAAATCCATTGGAACTTCAAACCCAAACTGAACAAAAAAGTAGATCTGTGTATCAGAACTGTGTATCAGCACACAGATTTAAATGGTAGGGTAATTTTAGTGGTATACAGAATGGCTATCCCCTAGCTCTCATGTGGCAGCTCATCTCACCAGTTAAGCTAGCAGCTTTTACTTCCCTCCTGGCTCCAGTGCTGATCCGAGCACTAAGGTGGTTCAGTTTGCTAATCTGGCAAAAAACTAACCCAGTTTAAAAAGGTACTAGTAGATTTCTATTTGTTTGAGGAGTTTAATAGGCTGAATTGGGTGATCTTGTGAGCATCAGTAATACCAGAGAGGAACCACCAGCCTGTGGCCAGGGGCACTGAGGAGACAGAGGAGAAGCAGGTCCTGTCCTTCCTTCGCAGCAGCATCTGGTGATGAGGATGCTTCAGAACACATCATTGCACTTGCAGTAATTTAAATATTTTTGTAATCTGGAACAAATCAAAGCTCAGTTTCTTATTTCAACTGAAGGAATATTGCTGTTCTAAAGGGAATTACCCAATTTCTATAAATCTCAATTTTTTTAAAATAAGAAGCCTGTTAACTATCCATCTTTGTAGCATGAAATCTTCAGAAAGATCACAGTTCTTCTCATCCCTGTTTTTTGTGCTTGCATTGAAAAGCTTCTGGCAGATGCAGTGGTAAAAGCCCTTCAGTTAGTAATATAAAAACTAGTTTTTATTACTGTAGTGCACTTGTCCTTGTTTTTCTTTCATCATGACTACATAGAAATTTAAATATATTACCAAGCTAATAAATTCTGGTGTTCCTGGCAGCCAGTGTCCACACACTTCAGATACTTGCCAGAAAGTAAATGTTATCTGTAGTTTTTAATAGTTGCTTGATAGAAAGTGGTAGTAGTACTCTCTTGCTCATTTCTAGCTTGGGTCATTTCAGCTGCAGCTCTACAGACTGGGGGATCTTCTAGGTGGTTTCTTACTTGTAGTTGGCTTACATTTCACTATGATTATTTGTTACAGAGAGAGAATTGTTAGCTTCATTTTCAAGCGTTAACTGTGAGAACCTCAGTATTGGAGGGAAACAGATCTAAACATTCTTAGCATACAAAAAATCTCTAAATGAGTCTGACAAGCTTGTTTTGGATTAAAGCATAGTTTGTTTTACAGGACAAATCTAGATTAAGGCAGTTTACACAGCTGCCTTAAGGCACTTGGATGGTGGACAGGGTGAAAAGACTGTCACTGAGGGTGGTAATGGGGAAATGGTAGGAAGCTTTAAGTAGGTGAGGTTAGATGGGGTGGGAAAGCAAGAACAAGAAATGGGTCTCACTTAAGAAATGTACCTAATAGTTGTGTAGTGACACCTCTTGATGCCTCCCCCCTCTTTTGTTTTGTAGGTTGTTGCTGGCAGTGCAAGACTTTCTCTCAAAGCTGTTTAAATGAGAATGTCCCTGGCCCAAAGAGTACTACTGACATGGCTTTTTACATTACTCTTCTTGATTATGCTGGTGCTAAAGTTGGATGAGAAAGCACCATGGAACTGGTTCCTTATTTTTATTCCAGTCTGGATATTTGATACTATTCTTCTAGTTATGTTAATTGTAAAAATGGCTGGACGCTGCAAGTCTGGCTTCGACCCTCGCAACGGCTCCCAAAACATCAAGAAAAAAGCCTGGTATCTCATTGCAATGCTACTTAAGTTAGCCTTCTGCCTCACCCTCTGTGCTAAACTGCAGCGATTTACTACGATGAAACTGGTCTATGTATTTATCCCTTTGTGGGCTTTGCTTATTGGGGGTATGATTGAACTTGGATATAATATCTTCTGTGTACGAAGGGACTAAGCTGTACTCTGTGGGTTTCAGCACTGAGATTGGTACCAAGTTACTGGATTATTATAGTTTTGCCACAAACTTGATCTCCCACTGAGAGCACCAAATTAAAAAAATCAAGCTGGAGACTTTACCTAAACCAGGCTGAAGACTGAAAGTAGACTTGTTCCATTTTTTTATTTTAAAACTGTCACATATGCTCTTGTAAATAAAAGTATTTGCTCAACATAAGCTGTACTAATATGATTATTGTTACAAGGAGTAACATACAGGCTCTTCACATGCAGGTAGATCTTAAGGGAACCACCAATGTTCTACTGCAGAGCATTTAGCACATTGGGTAATCCTTGCAGAGAGGACTTGAGTTTTCTACTACTTACACTGTTACTCAAGAAAGAACCAGTTAACAGTCATTTCTATAATGTGCTAAAGTTGCTTTAACAATCAGTAACAATTGATAGCTGCCAAATATGAGCAAAAAAGGAATGAAGTGACTTGGTGTTTTCTTTTTTGACTGAGAATCCACTTTCAGTCCAAAAGACTAAAAATAAGCACTTTTTTAAGCTGCTGAAACAGACAGTAGCAGTAAGTTTACCTAGCAGGGGGAAAAAGTGAGTAGCTGAACTGTGCCAGCAGTCCATCATCCAGAGAAGAGAGAGCCAATGGCAATTACCTTTCTGATTGAGACGTTACCAGTGCAGTAATAGACTGAAACAATGGAGCAGGTTCTGTAATGCCTTTGTACCTTTATGGAAGATGGTTTTTATACACCCCAGTACATTAAATCTCTGGAGGTGAAGCCTTGGCTTCATGGAATAGTGGCAAACTCAGATATAAGTAAACAAATGGGACTTCTGGGAAGAGCTGAGAACCAGGAGCATACCCTGTGGAGTGAAAGTGCTCTTCCAGGAGCTACAGTAACACCAAATTGAAGTGTATGAATGATCCAGGATATTGTTAACGTGCGTGCCAAAGATACCAATACACATTTTCTAGGTACAAAATAATGTCTAATGAACGACCAGAGCCCAGGAGAAACTCTAAGATAACAGGAGGTGACTGAAGTGTCTCTCAAATAAAATTTTAATTATGTTCTTTCAACTGTACTTGTCCTTCAAAAAAAGTCTTCCTAAAGTGCTTGGATTTTCTGTTTGCATTTCAACCATGCAGCTGTGGGCATAAATACACAGGAATCATGTTGTCAGAGACTGCTGAAAAGGCTTTAAGAAAAAACCTATTCCATTCTAAGGCAATGGCTCTTAATTCACATCATCAGGTAACAAATTATCTTTAGAAAGAATTTAAGCCATGTTTGCTTACAAGTGATTGACTCTACCTTGCTAAAGGAGAAACCAAGGAATGACAAAGACAGAAGTCATTAGCTGCTGTTAAAAAAATGCAAAATATAACCCTGTTATTTTAACATGTCAACTTTTACTAAGCAAATCCATGTACTCACCCCCAGTTTACGAGCATCGCTGGATTTATGGAGAGCTGAAACTACCATTTAGAAACTTCTCCTGGGCCCTACTTGGTTCCGACAAGTATTTTACAGAAGGACACTGCTCTATGTTTGAGAGGCTTTTTGCCCACTCATATGAGGTTCCTGGGAAAAACTGGTTTCCTTCACTGTCTGTGATTTTTCAAGTTAAAATGGCACTTGTGTTTAGGATTAACTGAGGGGATGTGGGAAAGAGTGCCCATCTCTGTACCTGCTCTTGGGCCTGCTGAATATAGCAGATTCCAGTGAGCACACACATAAATACATGCTATGTGTAGATATGCATGTATGAATGTATACAGATGGCACAAAGAATATGCCTAATTTGTACATCCCATTTAGCCCTCCAAGCAGTTCTGTCAAATGGAAACTAGGGGCACTGAGCTTCCCAGGATGCAACAGCACAGGCATGGCCCAGGGCAGGCAAGCTGGACCTCATGTGGAGCTTTTACTGGATGCTTTAAAAATTTATGGAGAAGAAAAAAGGGTGTCTGAAGACCTACCCCCCAAACTTTTATGACCCACTTAACAAACGTTGCTGCAAATACGTAACAAGCATTTAAGCACTTTAGACAAGACTACACACGCACACTCATCTGTTTGGTATGTTATGGCACCAAGCATAAAACCGAGTACCTCTTGTCTTTCTGCATCTGCGTGTTATCACAGAGTAAAAAGCAAAAAAGCCCTGTTCACACACTGCCATAAAACCCCACACTGCTCCAAAGAGCAGAGCTGCTTTCCTCAGCCAAATGATGATGGTAACAGATCCTTCTAACCGAAACCAACAAGTGATGGAAGAATAAGGACAAGCCTCATTAGGACTTGGTGTATTATTAGCAAGATGGGCCACAAATGGTGACTCTGCCTCTTTAATAAGCCCCTTCTATTCCACAGATGTAACAATTATTTGGAAGTTTGGCATCTCTAAATCTAGAATTGAACACAGTTGTTCCAAATTTCCTTTTAATTGCTGCCTCTAATTCAACAGAAAAAGACCAACAATTGCAGTGTTTTGATTGTAGTTTGGCACTCTTTTTCCCTCCTTCTCTAAAGGTTTACAAACCTTGAAATAAATGACAGTGATTTTGAAAGCTGAAGCAGACATTTCTTTCTGGTGTCCTACAGCAGTCACACAAATGGATTCCCTTTAGTACAAGATAATTTTAAGACACAGCTATTTGGGAGTGCTCAGCTTTGTTTGGTAGTTCCCAGTCCTTTCAGAGACTTTGATAAGAAGAATGTCACTTTTGACTTAATATCTTGTATCCGACAAACTGTGCTGACACTCTTGTACCTGCACTCTCACTTTTTTTGTGATATCAGAACTTCATTCAAAAGGATTTATGATCCAAAGTACACTGGAGTCCACTGTGACCTTTCCAGAAGCTGTTGCAGGAATTACAGCTACTTGTAGTCACCCTGTGCTCAAAGGCACTGCTCACAGCTTTGCAATGGAACCAGTTCTCCTAACGCTTTTTGTTAAATTTTCACACTGATCTTCATTAACTAGAACAAAAGCAGAGAAAAGCACATTTGAGGAAGCGGGCAGGGAAAGGGGAAGCTGATGCTGAGATGGCTCACACAGATTTGCAAGGAAGGGGCAGAAGGAAAGGGGTGCTCCAAGGCCCAGCCCACTGGAGGAGACCTTGTCTGGGCTGGCTGCAGCACCCAACACAGGGCACGGAAGAGAGAACTTTGCCTTCAGCGGTTTTGTTCTAAAACACAATTCAATGCTTCTTGTTCTGAAATGAAACTGGAAGTATTCCTCATATGTTGATGACATACATACATGATATGTTGATGACATTTTGTATATGGAAAGATGTTCTACATAATTTATTTTTCTTCAGATCATGTATAGGCACTGTAGGTGAGAACTACTTTTGTCTGATTAAGGAAAATACTCAATGCCCATGTGTGAAATGTCACCAAAAAAATTTTCAATTACTTATTCATACTGCTATTCTTGATTTGTCACCACTTAGACTAGTATGCGGCTGTTATACTTTAAAAACACAGTTGTGTGACATACACATCCCCACCTTCAACAAGCTTTAACCTCAATGCTCTAAGAATCTGTGTACGTGCGCCCAAGATGCATTGCTGGGCATGGGTGACAATACTAAAAATTAACCTAGCACAGGACTAAGTGACAATGATTTAAGAGATGAAAGCAGCATTATTTTCTGGCATATGGGCATTGCAGTGCAGAAACAAAATCTTAAGAGTAACCTCATGGAAATTTTCACACTTGCCCAGTTTAAAAGTTGGGTGATACAAGATACTGATGAAAGTGAAATTTATGAGACTCCCAGAAACTTAGAATTCTAAGAACATTAGATGTCACCTATTTTAACGCCACCACATTTTGGGAACAAGTAACACTGCTTTTCAGTAACACAGCTCCTGAATAACTGCATCCTCAGAAATAAGTTCTTTGAATTTATTACCGTGGAAAGCATAGCACTTTCACACAACACATCACACTTTTTAAAAAAATTAAGATTGAGGTAAAAAGAACTATGCAGAGTTGGAAAAGAGTGTTTGTACCCTTCTGTTGTACCTTCATTGTTTTAAGGTCTGGATGCAGTCAGGCCCCTGTATGAGCCTTTTAGAGCTGAGCAGGCCTGGGTATCCACTCACTGCACCAAAGCATCAGCCTTTGCAGCCTCAAGCAATTTAAGGAATGGCTGCAGTTGGACCACTCAAGTACTATTCAATATTAATTCAACATTTTCTCCTTGTACTGAAGTTGGATGAAGAGTAGAAAAAGCTGCAGCTCAGTAATGCCATCTCTTTCCATCTGCCTTTTCCAACAAAACCAACATCACGAGCAGGCAAATGTAGGAGTCCTCATACAGCACAGAGTGACAGCGTAAGAGCAAGAAAGAGGGAAGAAATGAGAACTCAAGCTTAGTTTATCTGTGTTAGTTTTTATCTCAGCATTCCTTTTCGAAGCTTATAAAGAAGTCACCGCTAAAAGATGGTTTTTGGTCTAAAAATTTCATTTCTGAGATTAGCAAACACTCTAAACTGCATTCATTAGACAGATGAGTACCTGAGCGTTACTGCATGCTTAGGACACAGCTTTAGCAGTCTTAACGTATGTTACATTAGTCTCACACGAACAGGTCTAACTCTCAAGGTTTTCTTTTTGAGACACTTAGGGAATGGCTTTCTCAGCTAACTGCCCTGCTTTGTCTCAATACAACGAGATTTAAAAACCTGCCATAAAAAGCACAGTCCTTAAAACACAGGCCTAAGCACTAACAGACACTGCACTTCCATTTGGGTGGACTGGAAATTATTTGGTAAAAGAAACATAGTATCAAATAGTTATTGAAAAAATCAAACTTGATAAAATAGAAGTTTAAACTGCTGTTTTAATCGATGTTTGTATCAGATTATCATAACTGTACACCAAATACTAAAGGACTACTCAGGACTAACACCCTCATCGGTAGGCTCAGCTGTCAGCGTGACCAGAACATGAGAAGATCAGTGTCCAGCTGGCACTCGAGTACAGCACAGCTCTGAAGCAGAGGAAACAGCGTCACAGCACAGAGAAAAACAGTGGTTAGAATATAATACACTAAGTTTGCAAAGCCAGTATCCCTGATTCTAATAGAAACAGCAACCTAAATACCGTGAAGTTAATCACTGCTTCTGAACAGAAAACAACGATTTGCATTTCTAAGTGAAATGAGTGACTGATAGGAACCAAAGTTTCTCAAATTTTCCCATGACCGCTGCAAAAATCAGTGGGATCTGCACAAAATACCAGTATCGCCTATTATACAGTTTTTAAAGTGCATTTCATCCATTTGAGAAAGTAATAAAATACCAGTTGAACACAGCGACTCACAATCAAAGAAAACACTGTCAACAGTGCCATTCACAGCAAAGCACAGATCAGTGAGAATTTGTCCTTTCCATTTTTCCACTCACAGGCAGGTAAAAGGCGCTGGCCTGGCCAAGGACAAGGTTCTCTCAACAGCCAATCACCAGAAAAAATGAGTAAAACTACACTGGAGAAGCCTGTGAAGTTCTTTTCTCTCTCGAACAGAATTAGTACAGTTTTCATCCCAGTAGGGGACAGAAGGAGTCTAATACCTCACAACAGTTTATTTTGCCAGTGAGCACGGAGAAAACAGATTTATTTCAATCAATTCAGCATCCTTATTCACATGCAGGTAGTAGAAAACAGTCATTTTGATCAATGAATAGCAGTCCTGTGTTTCTTGGAAGACTTATTCAATTTTCCAAATCTGTAACGTTCGGATCTGTTTCACAGCATTCTACTATTTTATGTTTAATTTGCAATGCCAACTTATTTACTGTGCACATGTGTATCTGCTTAAAAATCACTTTTATTTATCACCAAGGAATTCTTTCACAGATGAATACTTAAATCACCCTCTGAAATAATACTTTATTTCTAACACTAGATAGAATTAATATTTCAGTTAAAGTAGTATTGAAATATCCACTATAGTAACAAGAAAGGGAAAAATCTGCATGCCAGCAGTACCTGTAATGAAAATACTGTTTCAGAGTCAATTTGCAGGCATTTGGAGGGCTGGGGGATGACACAACACTGAGTAACACTTGTATGTAACACATGAAGTCAGTCGCCAGTGAAATGCAAAGGATTCGGTAATTTCTAAAAAACAAAAGTAGCTACCATCTCGAAAGCTACTGGTAGTGACAGTAACAATGCAATTCTTTGCTACCCACAAATATGGTACCAATATCTAGGAAAACATGTCTAAATTTCTGCACATCATGTCACTAACTGGAACACCACTGCAAACGCACAGATGTCAATACCATTGCAGCACAGGCAACAGCCCTTACGCAGATTTTTCCAACCTGCAGAAGAACAAGGGCCAAGAGAGACAACCAAAACACTGGAGATTTTTAGAAGAAATAACAGCAAGATTTTTATATAAAACTGAAATCCAGGAAGGCAGAAAAAGCAACGAGCAAAGACTAGTTTCAGTACATCAGAAGGCATGAAGATTTATTGCTGAAGCAAAAGTCTGAGGATGAAGTCGTGTGCGGCAGGAATAAAGTCATAGCACAGGAGCGCTGGCAAGCGAAGCAAGACCTTTGTCAGACTGATGAACAATTCGGGAGCTGAAATTCTCAGAAAAAGTACTCCCCTCTTAAGAAGCAACCACATCAGAACAAATACACCACAGGCAGAGGACAACTGGATTTTTGTCTTTTTAAAAGCAGAGTCAGGAGTACACACAACACAGCCAGCCAACCCAGGCTGGTCACACCCTTCAGTACAAAGGGAGTGCTGGCAGCCGCTGGCAATCCCGGTGGTGTTCATATTTGTCCGCAAGGAATTGTGTCTAAAACTGAGACACTAATCTGTCTCAAAAATCAAAAAAGTAAGGGATGCATAAAAATTGCAAAAACTAACATTTTTTAATATCTTAAAATTCTGAAAGTGATTAAAGGAAAAAAAAAAAGGGTTGAAGATGTAGGCAGTTTAGAAGCAAAATTCCAGAACCAAGACATACCTGAGCAAAAGTCTGAGGCCGTATCAGCCAAGACCACTAAGCAGATCTTCAAAAGGAAACAAAGTTCTACTCTTCAGTGTAAAGTCATGTTTGCTAAAACATTTTCAAAGACTTATTTCTTCAGTCTGGACAGGGCCTGTGACACAAAGTTGTTTGCTGTCACGGGGGATGTATACGCTTTACTAAAATCTGACCAGTTAAAAAAGAATACTTGAATCAGAGTGAATGATCAGCATACGGATCACCAGCATACAAGTTGTTGGTTTTTATAATTAATAAACTAAACAGGCTGGTTTGGGTTGTGTTATTAAAGAAAAGCAGTATCTGGCAAGGCAAGTTTTGCTAGCAGACCCACTTGGGAAGCTGCGTGCATGGTGCAAACCACAACCTGCAGCTCCTCCCTCTGACCGTTCTCCACCAGCGGGCACAGAGGACGGGAGTGGGAGGCTACGTCACTGTGTACAGACATTCATCAGCCAAAGGGATTACGGGTGGAAGTTTCCAGATAATCCAGAAAACACAAAGGGAGCTGAGACCACATTTCTATCAGGAAGGCTCAAATTCTTATATGAACCAATTAGTTTTTGAATCAGAATCTGCCAGAGTAATAACTTACCATGCCACACGTGAATCATTTGCTCATGGCGTGAAGGGAAAGCAAGAAGATCCCTGAGGCTGCAAAACTGGTAGTAATCTCTTAGCCAGCATTAAAGAAAATAGCAGTAAGGACGTATTGGCCACATCCAAGAGATTCTCGCTTCTATTGCTTCTCTAATACGTTAATTATGGCTACACAGGAGTAATGTTTAGCAATTCAAATACTGATTTAATTAATAATTCCTTGACAGACCTATCAGGGCACTCATCCATTAAATGGATTATTTTAGTGCCGAGTGTAAGTATGCACTAACATTTTGAATTTTAACAACTATCAGCAAAAAAATGTTTGCAACAAAAGGGCCTCAGGTAGTTGAATTAGACATCACCTGGAAATCTCATTGTTCTATTGCTACAAATGAAGCCAAAATGATCACTAAGTGCATCAAAGGTCCTAACTGGGTAGGTAAGGATGTACAACTTTCAGGAAGTTATAAGGAAAAATTAAAAAAAAAAAAAATCAGAGATACAGAGAGATTTAGAAATAACAGGCCTAGGATCTTAAGCTTTAAATACTTAGTTGAAAGACAGGCTGTAGGGCAGTTTACTGCTCTTTGTAGCTACCTGAAAAAGATAGATCATTCAGATGTGTTTGAACTATACAGTAATACATTACACAAAGAATTAAATAAGTTAAACGGCAGAGTTTTTGCCATTACCACATCAGATGCTAGCTAGCCTTGAAACCCTCTTCCCTCAGAACACAGCTCAAGAGAGTTCAAGCGTTCCCTAGGCAGGGAGAGAGGAGCACAGTTAACCTGGGTGCCAATTATTACTTTCCTACTGAAACCACTCTTGCTTCCAAACTGGGACTCATGAGGAATCTTCCTACTGGACACATTGGCGAGTGTCTTTATTGCCTGGCGCTACCAGTACAGGGAGCAATTCAAATCCAAATAGGTCTCTGTTAATTACAGACTACTGCTAAAGTTGAGGCCCTTATAGCTTAATAAGTAACTAATAAAATATTTTTGTTTTCATTTTAGGCAGATAACTGATTTAAGTTGAGAGGAGGGGGTGGTTGGTTTGTTGGTTGGTTGATTTTTAACGTGAAACAGAACTGCTTTAACCGTGGCTTGAGCAGGGAAGAGGTAAGCAGAGAAGGGAGCTCACTGCCTCGCACCAGCTCACCTAGAGATGTGCAGTTACTGGCAGCGCTCCCAGAGCCCAGGAGGTGCCTGGCTGTCCCCCACAGTAGGGGAGGGTCTGCCTCTGTTCCACCTTAGCATCTGACAGCAGGAGTTTGGGGAGTGCCTTTAGCGAGCAACTGTAAGGAATCCTGGAAGGGAGAACTGATTCTGCATCCTGACTGGTCTCCATTTACAAAGAATGCCTCAGCTCTGCCTCAGTTTGCTACAGCTCCTCAGCACACAGCAGCCTAAGGGCATCCTATGCATTAGTGCAGGTAGAAACATAATCATTTAGAGAGGCAGTTTAACTGAATTATTTTTTGCAGACCCAAAAATAAAACCAATCTGTTATTATGAACCTTTATTAAGCGGCTCACATTTCAGTATAAATCACACTAAAAAGATTTTTAAAAAAGATATTTACACTACAGTGCTGACACATTTAAAATGAAAAAATTGGTATAAATAAGCTCTATGGAAAAGCCTGGAATTGTCAAAAAGAATTCTGGCTCATCTTACAAAAAATATATATGTTAAATGTCAGCTCTACTCTAAAACCTACAACTCAAAATTATTTAAAGACTTCTTTATGTTAAACCTGCAGTGTTTACAGTGCATCTGGCCCTAAGTGCTTTGATACTTCACAGTTATGGACAGGCACTGAGGAATGTTACAAAGCTACATAACTATTTTCTGTAACAGATGCGAAGGCAAGTCACAAACTCGCCTCACCAAATTTATGAATCTTTACATTATTACATCATTAAGTTTAAAAAGGAATTTAAAACCATATATATACAAATTTAGCACAAAAAATCATCCTCTCTTTGTCCATGCAGTTTTGGATATGATGAACTGTGTTGTCTTGTATCGTCTGGATGGACGTGACCTCCAGGGCATAACTTGCCTTGTAAGTCCTTGTTGCCAGGTTCAAATTTAGAATCCATTTCCAACTTAAACGCTGTCAACTCGACATGCTCCAACCTAGTCTGAACATTCGGGCCCCTGACGTCGTTAGGTGCCACCGTCTTTTCAGCAAGATCAACATTCACGGGTTCGTCTTTTATTCGGTGAGATGCAATAGGTTCATGTTTTATTCCTGCTGCAGATACTTGGTCTGCAGAACATCTGAAAATTTGGTGTCTTCGGAGGTATTTTTGCTTATCGTACAAACTCTGCTGTCAGTCTGAAGTCCAATAACCGAAGACTTGGGGTCTGCAGAGGTCCCTGCTTCAACAGTACTTGTATTTTGAGAAAGTTCTTCCTCTGAATGATACAGCTTGAGCCGGATATGCCAAGCCAAACTGCACACAGCTGAAACTGTTTTGAACTGGTGCACGACATTCCTTGGGATAAAATAGATGTCATTATCGAATAACTGAATTCTGGCGTATCGAATGCCTTCCCTTCGCAGTTGATTAAGTTTTGCATCATCAACCCACTGGACACACTGGAGGAAAAAAAAGGGGGGAAAAAAAGGGGGAAGGGGAGGTGAAAACTCTGATTTAGGACTCAGAGGACACGCTCATACAGCTCATAGTGTGCTTACCTGTGAGAGTGGAGGCTCATGCAAATCTAATTGCATTCGCTGAACTACCTCTAAGAAGTCTTCAGCATGAAAACAAATTACATCTTTGGTTATACGAGGCTGCTCAGACCTACAGGAGAATGAGATTTGCACACTCAGAGGCTGAAACGAACATGCTACAGAAACTAATTTTAAAATCTGCAAGTAAGAATAAAGCAAGTGCTCAAAAAGCCCCCAGCAATACAACAATTCTAGCGTGACCTACGTTTTGAAGAAAAAAAGTTTGACTAAAATGGCTAATTCTCAAACACAACATTAAACTGGTTAAATTAGACAATTTCTTTACAAGTGACAGTAAAAGCAGCAATGACAGGTCAACAAAGCTCACTGTTTCTTGATTTATTTTTAATTGACGTCTGTCTGCCTTGATGGTGAAAGACAGATGCCCCAGATACGCTGGGCTTACTCTGCCAACGCTCTGCCATGATACGCCCATCAGGTACCAGGTTTGGATTTCCTGGGGCCTGCGGGAGGAGGGGATAGCAAAACAGTTTGATACACTTCAGAATTCATTTTGTGGATGTTCAAGAACTCTTTTTAAAAAAAAAACCCAAGACAATAATAAATTTTTATCTATATGGTGTTAACATTCTAAGAAGCTGGCAATGACGTACAGTTTATTGGGCTTTTTAAACTGAGGACACATGTTTATTTTATTTGGGTCACGACCTCAATAAAGCAAAAATAACCAGTTTGAAGCTATTTTCAGGGGAAAAAATCCCAGATCAATTACTGAAATTATGCTAGGGAGAACTCTCAGACCATGCATTTTACTTTCAATTTTACAAAGATTAAAATGTCTCTGTATTTTGGTCTATATACTCCTTCAGAGGAGTTAAGAACTGAAAGCAAAAAGCTGACAGAAACACCTCTAATCTGTACCATAAAAAATACTAGCTACATTAGTCTACTTTTTATAATGTAGTTCTGTTTTTTTATTTTTTTTTAAGAATATGTATGTGCATCTGGAGCCAATATTTGTAAAGGAAGTTAGGAAATAAAATGCATACAAATAATATTTGCATACTAAAAGAAATTCAAACCAAAACAACGTTTTCACAGCCGAGTCTACTCTGTGTTTTATGCATTATACAAGGCAAAAAATATAGCTCTTTCTTTTGAAACCATTCCTTTTCTCAGTCCCTATACATATGTGCATCAGCATGCGGCACCAACTCTGTGCTACAATCCCGTCACAAAACATGACATTCCTTTTGCAAACACGGAAAAATATTGCCAGATAATTTTTAATTTAATAAATAACTTAATATGCATTATTTAAAGCAGAACAGTGTAAACTTTTCACATCTGACATTAACTCAGTTGCAGCAACTCAATTACGGCTATTGCAAGGCACCTTTCTAGTTTTAACCACAAAACAAAACTGTACCCAATTGAGCAAAGGGCAGACAAACACATCTAGCGCACAGATATAGAAGAAAAAAAATAAGCCCGGTATTTACTAAGTCTTCAGCAAATTGCTAATACTAAATTAACCTATTGTGTACTCCCTCTACCAACAATCAATGGAAATTCAGGCAAATGTTTTTCAAACAGCTCGGTGAGTAAGTCAGTAACACGTACCACTCTCCACAGTGCACAGCCTTCAATACTCCCACAGCAGCTGTAGTCTGTCGTTCAAAACCTTGTCCTATGTGATCTGCATGGGCTCTTGTCCGGTCTTCAAATAGCATTTCACGGGGTTCACTGGTTCGAGGTAGGTACTGCAAGTTTTTTATTTCATTGGTAGTTCTGTACAAGAACAACAGTATTAGTGATACAGAAATGTCTCTTAACTACCTGATTTCCACTCATAGCTACAAGGACTGTTTTTCTTTCTTCAGTGAGAACATACAGTCAAATGTGAAAAACAGTAACACTTGGGACAAATTAAAAATGTAACAAACTACGCAAAAAATCAGAACCCTACACAATTAAAAAAAACCCACACCACAGTGTCAGGCCAAGTGCACTAAGAGGCCCTAACGACTGAGCAGCCTCACCTGCAGTCTCCATCCACAAACCCAAAGAGGCCAGGAGCTCTATTTCAGCTCAGGCCTGGGCCTCCAGTCCCAATCTGAGCCATGCTGCAGGGGCAGTGGTCTTCACACCAGCAGAGGTATCCTGGGCCACAGACTTGCTTCCCAGCTTGACCTCAGGACAGCTTTGTCATGATGGACCTGATCCTCACTGGCAGACTGACTTCTCAGCTTGAACTTGGACCTGCCCCATCACCACACACTTGCCTGATGCACCAGAGTCTGGGCTGAATCTGGTCCCCAAACCCAGGTCTGGCCTACCTGCCTCCTTCAGGCATTGTGAGACTGGGCCCCACCATGATCAGCCCCTGGCAGGGCACTACCAGCCGTTGCTGCTTCCCGACTATTAGAAATAGATTCAATTGTCCGTGAAGTCAATTTTCATCATTCACGTTTCTATCAAACTACTGGGAAATGTGTTGTGTCTATTTAGTTCCATGTTGTAGAACTGGGAATGAGAAGCAGCTGAAGATTATTTCTCCAGGGTTTAATAAAAGTGAAGGAAACACTGCAGAGCAGGAACAGAGCCACACCACCATTTTCTTGGCCATCTCAAGCCAACATCGTGTGTCACATTTTTTCAAGAGCTCATCTAATTATAGGATAGTAAGGGTTGGAAGGGACATCTGCAGGTTGTGCAATCGAACTTCACCCACCCAACTAAAGCAAGTTGCTCAGGACTGCGCCCAGCTAAGTTTTGAGCGACTCCAAAGATGGAGACTATGCAAGCTCTCTGGGCAACCTATCCTAGCATTCAGCCATCCGTACAGTAAATTTTTTTTCTTTATTTTAAATGGAGAATCTTGTAATTCAGCTTGTGTCCATTACCTCTGGTCACATCACTAGGCACTGCTGCAAACAGTTCTTCCTACAACCTCCAGTCAATGCTCATACACACTGATACGATCCCACTGAGCTTTCTTTTCTCAAAGGTAAATCCCACTTCTCCCTAATGCCCACCTTTTTCCTGTCATCAGACTTGCTCCAGTACGTCAATGTCTGTCTTGGCCTGGCAAGCCCAGAACTGGAAATGTTACTCCAGATGCATCTCACCAGTGATCAGCAGAGGGGAAGAATCCCCTCCGTCAGCCTGCTGGCAGTGCTCTTCCTAATCCTGTCCAGGAGGCTGCTGGCCTGATTCACCACAAAGGCACACTGAGGACCTACGGTCAACCTGACTTCCAGCAGGACCCCCAGATCCACCCCTGCTGGGCTGCTGTCCAGCCAGCTGGTCCCCAGCCTGTGCTGCTGGTGCACAGGGTCACTCCTCCCAGGTGCAGGGCCCCAGTGTTAACTTCATGAGACTTCTGCTGGCCCATTTCTACAGCCTCTCTCAAGCTCCTTTTCACTGGCAGCAAAACACTGTGGTGCATCAACCACTCCCAGTTCTGTATCACCTCCAAACTTACTGAGGGTGTGCTCTGTATTGGCTGAACAGGATTGGCCCACGGTATCAATGTCTGGGTTACTCCAATAGAGACCGTTTTCCAGCTGAACTTTATGCTGCTGATCACAACCCTTTGAGCACAGCAGCTAAGCCAGTTACTGAACCACTTCACTGTCCATCAGTCTAGTTTGTCCTTCATTAATAGGGTGTTATGGGAGCCAAGTGTCTAGCATGGAAAGCTTTGCTGAACTCAAGATAAACACCACCCCTGACACTCCCCTCATCCTCTGAGCCAGTCACTTTGTTGCAGAATTCTATCAGAGCATAAAACATGATTTCCTCCTTCATAAACCACTGCTAGCTACTCCCAACGATCACCTTGACCCTCGTGTTTGAAATGGCATCCTTCCAAGGATGAAGGTGAGGCTGACTGGCCTGTACTTCCCCAGGTCCTGCCTCTTACCCTTCTAAATGACTAGAGTGACATTTGCCTTCCTCAATTGCCATGATCTTTCAAAAGTGATCAAGAGTGGCCTTGCAATGATACTGGCCAGCCTCCACTCCACCTGTGGGTACACCCCATCAGGTCCCATGGGCTTGTGTCTAATTTGTATGTCCAATACATTCTTTAACCCGATTCTCCTCTACTGAAGGGAAAGTAAGTCCTTGCTCCAGACTTTCCCATTATCTCCAGGACCTGGCATTCCTGAAGGTAAATCTAACCAGTAAAGACAAGGGCAAAAAAAGCACCTCATCCTCTTCCATGTTTTTTGTCTCCAGGCCCTTTGCCCTGTTCAGCAGATAACTTCCACTTTCCCCAGGCTTTCTTTTGCTGTCCTGTAGAAATCCTTCTTACTGCCCTCCAGGTGGTCTTTGGCTTTAACTGCATCCCCTTCATGGTCAGACAGTGTCTCTATCCTCCTTCTGAGGCATCTAACCCTGCTTCCACTTTCTGTATGCTCCCTCTTTGTGTCTGAATTTTGAATAAGAGAACTCCAAAGACATAACTTCTTATGACATACAGTATTAAAGTTCCGCAAGGACATTTCTACTCTTAAGCTAGTACTTATACACAGTACCACAGCAAAGCTTAAAGGTGTCATTTAATATTGGAGGTGCCACCTTTCAGATGAGAGAGAAGCCTTTTTCCCTTGAGGTCTTTAAACATCCATTCACATTCAAGAACGGAGGCATTCATTTCAGTCTCCTGGCATACATCAGTACTTGTATGTCTGTGCACATTTCCCTGCAATTTTCACCTTAAATTCCTACTAAAGCTCCAAAATGCACCAGCACCTTACTTAGCCAGACAGTAAACAATTTATTAAAAAAAAACCTCAAACAAAAAGACCCACACCACATCCTTACAAAAAAACAACTTAAAAGTGTATTTTGAGATTAAGATTTACATAAACTTATACTAAGATACAGTATCAACCAGTAAAAGGTTTGAGATAAAATAAATTTGTGAAGATACCAGACACTCATAAAGCAAAATAGTTTAACATACCTCTTCCTTTTGAAAGGTGACTTTGGCATGTCAGCCACAGGGATCATCTGTTCTCCTGGACGTACCCACATAATGGGACCATCATCACTGTCTTTACGACTCTCTAATTTTAAACTAGAAAGTGTTCCCCATGGCAGTGTACACTAATGGGAAATACAAGCCACAATTTTGCAGTGAGTTACTTTAGAAAGAAAAAGCAGCCTTTATCTGTCACAATGAAAACATTTATTAGATCCCTCAATTATCTTAGCAAGTATCACATACACTCACTTTACAACAGTACTAGACAGCAAATCCTCCAACCCATTCCCTCCTGTCCTTACTTTTAAGAAGGGTGATTCTTCCAACATATCAAGGAATTCAGGGAAGTAATCCCCCACTTCCTCATCAACTGCTCCAACCAGGCTGATCTGTCTCATTGGGCCAGCTCTATACGTACCATGAGAGTATGTTCTTTTTACCTACAAGTAGAATATGACAGCAAAAGTTATACCAAGTCCACTACTGCTCAAAGCCTACATTCAATAAACACCTTCAACCTCTATGCTTATTTTCTGATTCATTAGTCCTAGTCTTCAGTATACTTAAGATTATTATGAAGCCAACTACTACGAAGTCATCAAAGACAGAAGTTCTAATTAAAGATACATAACAACTTGTATTTTATTTCTTTTCAAGTCTGAAGGTAAGACTGTGTAACTCTTTATTGGCTTTCAAGAAAATAAATAACATTCCAAAGCAGTAACTGAAAAGCTATTATCCTATATTCTGTTCAATAACTAATAAGAATTCTTCTCTGGATTTGTCAAGTCTAGCTGAACTTTCACCTTTTTCCTGTAACAGTTAGGTAGAACCCAGAGTTACAACTAATTAAACTCTAAACATTTCCTCCGCTAATCATCCTCTCCAGTGACCTCCGTGCCAGCCCATTAACCAGAGTTAATTTTCACAGCGAAGACAAGGCTCATGGAGTTACTACAGGAGAGAGAGAATAGCTGTCATTCCTTCATTTCTCCTGTGCTGTGCTAACACATCTTGTGCTCTCTTAAAACTTGAAAGGCTGTAATGTTCAGCCCTCGTGAAAAATCTTTTATTTTGAACTTGAACAGAAACACATACTGTTATAAAGGTTTTTTCAATTATCTGATCTGTTGTGTTACATCAACAAAATCCTTAGGCATGAGATTGATGAGGATCACTTCCCCTTCAGCTTCCGATCTCCTATTTAACAGGCTGAAAGACAGTGGCATTATTAGATGACATATGACCAGAACAGAACAGAGGGAAGAGCAGATGGATTTCTGGACAAACCAAGTAAGACTCTTGCACTGCATCTCTAGACATTCTGCATCCAAAGCAAGAAAAGGAAAAAAAAGGTTCAAGTTAATGAAGTGCTGCTTAGCTATGGTCCTCACTCAAACCCACCATTAAAACTACTAGTAATTATGGGGGTGCAGAGGAGAATTAGCAGCAGTTCCTGAAAATAAGGACGAATCATACCACATGGAACAATGTTGCACCCTGCTGAGAAGCCAGACTGATGTCACCAGGTTCATCCCAGAAATACAGAACCAAATACTTCAGATCATCTCAGTCATCACACAGCCAGGAAGCAGAGGACTGACTAAAAGCAGGATTTTACAAGTGTCTGAGCTAATGTAATGGCAAGCCATCCAGCTGTAGTGAAAAGAGTAATACTGCTAGACAGTACTATTCCCCTGTTCCCCAAATCCCTAGTCATACATTCCTGCAGCTTTTTTTTTTTTTTGCACTGACACCTGATGATTTTGTGATAAAACATCAGAGAACACTGATTTCTGCTGAATCTGCATCAGCTCAGTCCTCAGCTGTACCTGCACTGGCACAAAACATCAGAAGCTCACACAACTGAAGCACTGGGACAAGGAAGGGACACTCACTTGTCATTACTGGCTTACCAGAGAGACCAATTCCACAGCACCCTGTCTGAGGCTACAGAAAATCCTAAGTCTGTTACTCGCGGTTTACTGATAAACCTAACATGCAAAAGGATGGTTCTTCCACTGGCATAAGCAGCCTAGTACTGCACCCTTCCAGGCCAGCAGCTGTCTTCATCCACAGCCCTGATTCAAGTGAACCATTTTTCTGCCTTCATCCTCACTTCCTTCTGCTACACGACCATTCCCATAGCGTATGTGGAACTACTATAACTCCCCCAAAAATAACAACTGAAGTGAAGTTAGCAGAGGCTGTGAAGCTTTCACCTGATCAACTGTGTAATGGAAAACTGCAAGAGTAAAACCACCACCAAATTCAGAATTAGTAAAGCTTGGGAAATACCTGTCTCTATGACTAGGATGGCATCAGCTGATTTTTTTTTTAAGTGTAGCTTAACTTGCTCACTTTAAACTAAGGAGTTTTAAAAAGCAAGTATTTTGGAATAAATATCTTAGTGTCTAAAAGAATCTGAAGACTAAATGTGAATACATATATAATGCTGACAACAATGTATTTGAGCATTATCACCATATAAACAGGAAGCCTTTTAGACACTACATTTTAAAGATGTTTTCCGTTTCTGTTTGAAACAAAAACACAAACTGAAAGGAACAGTCCAGAGAAACCAAGCATTTCAAGACCTTAACTTCGAAAATGTGAACTTGGGCAAGTCACAACTGAATTCCTATTTTTAATAGAATAGGGTTGGTTTTATTTTGTTGGGGGTTTTTTGGGGTTTGTTTTTTTTGGTTGTGTTTGTGGGGTTTTTGTTTTGTTTTGTTTTTTTCAGTTGAGGTTCTAACATTTTCCTGGAAGAATTTTAAAGGTTTAAATTTTTTCAGTTATCCAGCTTGAAAATCAGGAGGTCTGAAAAAAAAAAAATCCAAATCCAAACCCACCAAACCCAAGAAACGCACAAAGACCAACAAAACCACTAAACATCCATAAAGATACACTGAGATCAGAAGGAACAGTGGGTTTCCATTTCACCACACAAGTGCACAAGCAATGCACTTACACATCTCTGTCTTAGAACTGAGAACATCCAGCTTCGCATTCACCGTTATTCCTCCAAATCTGTTACGTCAAATGCCACGAAGGGGCAATGTAGCGTTCTTTCTTATTTGGTACATTTTGAAAGAGCGCCCAAGAGGCTTTCTGTTCTTTGCCAGCTCTCCTCAAACCCTTAAAAATTGACATATCTTCAGTTCCAAATGGCAACTAATACAGAAGTACAAAAAACCCACTGAACGAATATTCATGTTCATACTACCTTTTTTTTTTAAGTTAGGGTTTTAGTATCAGAATCAAATGCCTAGACAGTTCAACCGTTATTCAAAGGGGATCCATTATAATTAAAGCTTTAATTTTAACAAATATACCATTTCCCTACTGGAACTTTCCAGAAATGTAATCCCAAGTATTTTTTGCTGCAGTAGAGTTCTACCAGTGTCCTTTTACCACTGCAGTCTGTGCACCACTTCATGTTTCACCTTGTAGATGAAATCCTCAAATAATATGATGGATGATGGACAGACATTTTCAAAAGCAAGACGACCCATTATTCTGAATCCTTGTGCCACAAAAACTGTGAAGCAGTCAATAAACAAAAAAGTTAAAAACAATTTAATAACTTCAATTAGATACCTTCATGGAAAACAGTTTTGTGAAAGCAGAGTAGCTGTTGTGCTCCCATAACTCAGGAAGATCTGTCTCAAGGTTCAGTCTCAGGCCCTGTCCAAGCTGTCAGCACAAACCTCTAGGGTTTTGTTTAGGTTTGTTTTTTCTTAATACAAAATATGACCAACACACAACTGTCATTTCATACAGTTGGCTGAGTTTCAACATTTCATACAGTTTCTTATTAGCTGAGACTGTCAAGAAGCAATCTGGAAAGGTAACTGTTTTCTAAGGGGAAAACAAATGATAATGAGTTACAAATTTCTAATGTCATTCCACGTGAACTGATGCTTTGTTCAATGCTATTCAATAAGTGGTTTTTTTTTTCTTTTTCTTGGAAGACAATAGGTTCCCATCATCTATCAAAACTCTCTTACAGACTTATGGATAATTTGATAAATAATGAACATGGTAACATATGCGCTTCAGAGTTAAAATTCAATTTTTCATCATCCACAAGGAAAAAAGAAGATAGAAGCTATACTTCTAAGAAACTTGTGTTACAGCAAGCAGTTGCCAAAAAATATTAAAACTTTTTAATAACTAACCAAACATTCAAAGATCTTAAAAGCAAGAAGCTAATTCTATTGAAAGCAAAATTCTTCTGAAAGCTACTGAAACCACTGAAGAGACACAGTTCCAACAGAAACAATTCTTTCCAGAACACAGGAAAACACCACAATGTGTGGAAATAGACACTACAAGAAAACAAAACACTATTTCAGATTTTCTTTAAATAGAAATATTTTCAGCAATTCCCCTCAAACACTAGAAGAATGAATATTTTCAAGCAGGATTTCACAAATTAGAAAAGGAGCAAACAGCAAAAGCTGCTCTGAGTTTAAGAGCTTAACAAGGAAGACAGTAAAGAGAAGATAATATCTAAAGGGGTCAAAAGAACCAGAATGAAAAGCTCCAAGGCCAGAACTTAAGTAGGGAGGACAGCCACAACATAAACATGAATTACCATTATTGTTGCATTTCTTCCCCCAAAATATTTATGTTATTCTTTATCTGAATATCCAGTCTCCATCACAGCTAACAAAGGCAACATTGAATTTTTGTTGTGGTTTTTCCCTGTCTAAAGTAATTTATTCCTTCTCTGAAGATGCAAACTGCCTGTGGCTATGGTCTGGGGCTGGTTGTGCAGTCACACACACATCCTTCAGCTACCTCTAACATAGTCAAGTAATATAATTTGCTAACCCAGCAATAAAACCAGTCCCTCAGTAACAGGTGAAGTTTTCTGCTGGATTATCAAAACAACCTGGCTTACCAGCTCAAGCACCACCAGGGCTTGGCACAAGAACATGCGGCTGGGAGGAAAGCAGCAAGGAGGACGTGCAGGTTCCAGCAACAGGTGCTGGGGTGGCTCTGACAATTTCTCTGCACACTGAGCAGCGGGTGACTCCTAAACTGAACAGGCCCAATGATGAGTGTCCTCACATACCCTAGAGTGCAAAAGCAGAAGCCACACAGAAACAAAGCTTTAATAAATCAATGAGAACTCCAAACAGATTCTTCAAAGTTGGAAGAGGATAACCATGCCATCTTAAAAAAATAGGTGACAGGAGAAGCACAAGACCGAAGACTTAGAGACTATTTAGTCTAGTTTCCATTTCCAGAGAAAAGTTAGCTGGATACTCCTCTCTCAACCACTTAGAAAATAAAATGGTAAAAGCTAATAAATATGGACATGCAAAAAAAAAAAACCCCTCAAAACAGAAAAGAATAACCACAAAAACCCATGCATAGAACACAATCACACCAAATAAACCTTCCTTTCTAGAACAGGATAGGCTTTTTCAGGGAACCAGTACACACCTTGACATTTGCATTATGTCTTCAAAACTGCTACAGAAACACGGTCAGGTAACAGCAAGCAGTGGGCAGTTTTCATTTGTCTGTGTTCACATAACTTCCCATATGAAAGGATGAATTTTGTGGTACGTAGCAAGAAGCTTTCCTTTGAACACAACCTATGCTTCTGAAACCCCCAGGTAACACAAAGCTGCAAACCCACTACAGGAAAGGATCAAAAGAAGCAAGGTCTTTGATAAACTGGAAAAGGGATCTGCATTCACAGGATATAATTCAGTTTGAATAAAAGTACAGAAGTACATGCAGATATATATAACTGCATAAACATGAAAAGGAGAGTGACTCACTTAGCAGGAGCTGCTGCAAAAGCAGACCACAAACTGCTCTGAAAAAGACAGGAATAGATAACAAGGAACAATCATTTGCTTCAATTTGCAATTGCAGCAATCTTCTCATACTCCTTGACGACAATACACCAGGCATGAACTGTCCATTTTCAGTACTGAATTTTAAGAAAAATAAGAATGACTAAAGAGAGCATAAAGGGGGAGCAGTAAGAGCAATAAGAACATAGTATACTATGGTAGACTGAAATAATTCAACTTACTTCATCTAGAGAGGGGAAAAAATGAGCTGTTAAGCCATCTTCAAACACAGAGAACAGTGACAGAAAAGCATAAACTTCCTTGTCCACTAAGGAACAAAATAAAATGACTGGCAAGAGGATTAAGGTAAGAGCAGAAGCAAGGAAAAAAAAAAAAAGACTGCTCAACAGATTTCTTTGGGAAGTGTGGAATCACCTAAAGATCTCCAGCAAACAGATCAGGACAAGCATTTATTAAGATAAGACTTAAAAATTGTCAACTTTGTCTTGAAGCACAGAAATTGTTGTGTTTTGGACAGCATTTTACTTCACTTGTACTAAGAAGTTGCTTCTGGGCCAAGCCTGAAGCACAGTAAAATCAATGCACTAAGCACTGTTCTGGTTAAACATGAAGCGCGTGTGCTGAGGTTTCAGCACAGCAACACAAATTTACACTTGCCTAGCAAGAAGACACAGTAATGGGTTGAAAATGTTAGAGGCACTTGCCTTAACAGCACCAAATACCTTAACAGAAGTGATGTAAGCAGCAAGTAGGTAGCAGAAGTTGATTATTTACATTCTTTGAAGTCACTGTGAGAGCATACCAAGTAAATTCACAGCTATCAGGTAACTGATGCAGCTGCTGCCACCAGCACAAGTGATGGAGCCCAGAGATGTCCCTGCAGCACACTCTTCTGCCACATGAAAGACTGACTTGTGGCTACAAGGATACCCAGACTGACTCCATTTTGCCCAATTATAGAAACAGCATGATTAGACCTTGCAGACAGTTCACTGAAACAGAGCTGTTCCACTAACCTAAAAAATGTAAAGAATTAAGGAATATTTAAACACAGGTCCAAGGTAGGTGGTGACAAGTTCCCCAATTCTTCTCCCTTTGAAGTTTAAAAGCTGATTCTGATGAGACAGAACCAGGTCCAACACAAACTCCTCTGCTGTAACTACTCTCACAAGCTTCTACTCACTTCTGATCTCCTAACAAGTGAAACAGTATTTCTTCTGTCTGACACAGACATTGGGAAGCTGAGAGGAGTTCATTTTCAACTCTACAGTTGTGAAAACTAACTTACTAAAATTACTTGAGAGATGCAGGCTTTCCAGGCAGACTTAGGATGACTCCAACAGTTTTGATCGCACCAACAGACTTTACTGTGGATTCTGTCTCTTACCACAGAACTCAGTGACTTGAAAATGTGCATTACTTAAAACAAAAAAAAAAACAAACCCCTCATCTACCACAAAAAAGGAGGTGGCAGCTTATTGAGTAGTACTGAAAGAATCGACTTTAAAAAACCCTCTGATAAAATACTCTATAATACTTCCCATTTCACACTCAGTTTATCCTCCTTTTGATTTTTATACTTTTTAAGATTTCTTTCAATACCTATATTTGTCAAACTTGTGCTACAATGAGTTCTCAAAACAAAGAACCTCATGTACTGATGTGAGCCACCTTTCAGTGTCTCAGTTGAAGACAGCAAAGCAATACCCAGGTTTCTTAAGGCTAAAGAAAGTTGAAATAGCTTTATCAAATCGGCTTTGAGTATCTAAGTTGCTACCCAGACAACAGAAAACAACTCGCATCTCAACTGAGACAATGCGACAACTGCTTGACATTGCTTAGGACAACAGAGAACACAGCAGCACAGACCTTTTGCAATGTAGGAACAGAAAACTACATTTAAAATCTCATCACAATATACTGGAACAGTCCATTAGAGTCGCTTTAAGATTCACAAAAAACTCAATGAGACAGAATAATACTATCAATCTGCACAAAACATAAGTTAACCAATCATTCAGTATCTGTTATAAATGAGAGGCAGGAAACTGAAAAAAGAGGTAACTGACACTAATGAATCAAATTTACACGCACACAAAATACAGCTGAAGGTTAAAACCACAACATTCACAACTCTCGTATTCAAAAAGTGCTCACATCCCTGGAGGATGAGCACTCTAACACAGTATCACTGTGACTATCACTCTCCTCCTTGGGCATCTTTGTTACTGGCCCCAGTCAGAAAAGGGGAATATGAAACTAACAAAATCTTTCAACTGCAGCAGATGACCTGATTAAGACAAAATAAGCAGCCAGAATACGACAAAAATTAATGAAATAATAAGGAAAAAATTAATCAGTAGCTAGGCAACCAAGGTAACTGACTTAAATATTCTGGAAAACAGCAATGCTGCACCAAAGATTATATGAATAAGTCTGGTGTACACTCATATACATTATTTATACACATTACACACTTTATGCTAGCAAAAACACAAGGAGCCAAGCATTTTCTATCAAATAACTGAACTGACAAGTGATAAAATGCTATGAAACTAAACTGAAAATCAGAGAAAACAAATGAAAAGAAAATACCAGAACTAAACCTCCAACCAAGTAAAACACAGGTTAGAAGACTGACTATGGAGTTGGCCAGCTGGATGCTATAGTAATACAGTCTGGCTTCTTTCACCTACTACATTCTTCCTTCACTTACAGAAAAAAAGGAAATTATGATCTCAACCCCTTGACCAGAGGACTGATTTAACTACAGCTATTGATGATACCATTGTAATACAAGTTAATCCATCCTTTCAGTAAAATAATTCCATTACAATTCACAAAAGCAAAATTTGGGCCTTTCTTAACTATTTCTGTAGGGTAGATACTAGCACACAGCTATGCGTGCATTAATGCTGCCCAAGACAACAGGCTGGACTTAAAGTATACACTTACAAGAACAGACCCAGCTTTTTTATCTAAGACCACTTAACACAGAGCACTATGGGCAGGTACCCAGAGCTAAGTCCTGCGATTTCTACTATGAAAGTAATGATTCAGTTTACATACTGAAAAAACAATTCAGTATTTTTCACAGAATATTCCATGGTAGGGGATGTTTTCCTCACCAGCACTGTAAATGTTCTCTTGCAGCAACATTTCAGTTCTGGATAGCCTTGTTGATAACACACCTGAGACTTATCAATTAATGCAGTAGTGTTCCATGCAAATGTTTATGTAGTCAAAGAAAAAAAAAAAACGTGTTTTTCATGAAAAAGATGACAGTATAACTTGTACTTGAACTCTTCATAACTGTCTAAAAAGCAAACACTAAAAGAGTTTAAAGGTGTTCCATACAGCATCTAAACTCACAAACAGGGAGTCAAACAGGCAATTGGGAGCTAAAGCTGATATAATGAAAAACAGGATTGAGTTTCTTGATAAATTGTTCCAGAGTGCATGGGCTTTACATAATACCCTCATCACCAAAGTGTCAACCTAAGAAAGCTAGACTGTTTTCCCCCCGAACTTAAAAAGACCTGAAACACAAATAGCTTACATTAGCAGTAATGTATCTGCTACAGAAAGTTGATAAATAGCAAAGATTATGTTTTATCAGCAGCTGTTGTTAAGAGTACACAGTCATTTCATTCCAAATTAATTAAATAAATAAAGATTAAAAAAATAAATCAAAGCTGCCTACCATTTTGCCACAAAACAGCCTTCAATAGGATACAACTAAATGGAGGGAAATGCAAGGGGGTAAGAATCAAATTCGCAGGTACATTAACCACCAACCATTAAGTTCTTCAAGGATGGATTTAGAAGCCTCAGACTACAAATGCAACAAATTAACTGTGCCCATATGTATGGGTTTATGTACAGCATTGTTCTAATGTATTTAAAGCATTTCAGTTTTATGAAGAAGTTCATACAGATAGACTACAGTCCAGATGGCCAGAAAGCCACAGCTAAATCATTTTAACCCTCCAAAACCTCATGGTTAAGCTTCAGCTCCAGAAACAAACCCAAAGAAACCTACACACAAACATGCATGCAAACACTGCCCCTCCCCCATAAAATCCAACTTGATGTCTCAGTTAATAGGCTCCTTATCTTTAATACTGTAGAACTAACTTAGTCCTTAAAGAATTCCCTTGTTTTCAGTCTTCTGTGTCACAGCTAATCATAACTGTATTAAAATAAACAAAACCCATTTACAGTTGTTTGAAACCATTACATGACTTTAGAAAGTAAAATGTATAACCTCTTACCTGAGCATGAAAATTTGACATAGTCGTTGTCTCTATATCTTTCTTTCCCAAAATCTCCATTTTCACTGGTGAATTGGGAAAATTAAACGAAAAGTAGTCTAAAAAGTCAGGTAAATAAGTAGCTGCCCCATGAACAATACCCATTACATAGTAAGCTGCACAGTTTTCATTTTCACTAAAAACCAGACCCACAAACTCTTCTGCAAATCTCTCCATCTCCACAGGAGACAAGTGGGAGAGTTCATTACTGTAGGCATGGATAACTGATGCACCTCCGTTAGGCTGGTGCTCAATATGAATCAGCTGTTTGAACTCCAATGTGTCCAACCTTTTGAGTTTATTTTGAACCCGTGGCTCCTTTAACGAGACAAATGGAAACTCACTGTTCTCTGGTATCTTGGACTCACAGTCCTTCTTGGGATCCATATTTTTCCCATTGAAATCCTTAAGATGATCATCTAAGATGCCTTTGGCTTCCTGATCCTCAATATCAGAAACCAATCCTGAGCAGATGGTCTGAATGGATTTGCTGTACATTTTTGGACGCTTCCTCTTCTCATTCTCTTTATGTTTCTTTTTCTTTTTCTTCTTAACTTTTTTAATCTGTAGCTCCTCCGCATTGGTTTTTGGTTTCTCCTTCCCAGCTGTTGAGAGACAAAAAAAATCTCTTAACTATTTTCACACACAAAATACATATTCAAAGATCAGGATTCAAAGTGACCAAAACCCTCACTGTGGCACACAAAGATCAGAAGCCAATGAGGGTTACACTGTGTATCTTACTGAAGAATGCCGTAAGAGGCACCTGCCATGTTCGTATTATGACTGACAAGTAAGATGGGGGAGGAAAGAAAAAAAGCAAGTTTCCCAAGGCTGCTTCCAGGATGAGTCCCTTTTAACCGCTCATCAGTAATTGCTACACCAGAAAGTTCAGAGACTTTATACAACATACGACAACTGTCAAACATTGCAAAACAAGGGCTTTACAAACAGTCAATGAACACCAACCACCATCAGCAAGATGTTCACAAGGTGCCACTGCCAGAACCTACCTTGTCAGATGGCTTTACATGGTCGTTCTTCCAGAGCTAAATAACATTTGTTGAAATACAGGTGGAAAGATCAAAAAACTGACCTCACACTTCTTCAAAGAAATTACAATAATAATCTAAACGAAAGCAAAAACCACAAATCCAAACAAGAACAAAAAAACCCCAAACAACCAACCACCAAAACAATCAATCTCACAAACCAGAAACCAGCTTCAAGTTCATAATAAGCAAGCTGAACTGAAAACAAACTGCAATGGCCTAAAGCCAGAAGAACTCATCTGGGGAAAACTTGTTCAAGTGATTCCCAAGGGTAACATTCTCCCTTGTTTGCAAGTGCTTTCGGGTTGGTTTTTTAATGTTTTGCAAGTAATAAATGCAGTAGCCAAAAAACCTTCTGTCACTATACTGCCCCACTGTCTCGCAGCTGAAGTCATTTCATGATTTGACAAATCAAATTACTGAGCATATGTTACAGCACGAAATTATACCCACAACAAGCGGTTCCAGATGAGTAGGTTCAGACACAGACGTTTAGTCTTGCAATGAAACACAATTTCCAAGTAATCTCAAATTCACAAAAGTTAGCCAGTATCTACTACTACACTGTAGTAACTATTTTCAGCTTGCAATCCTCAACCCAAGCAATTCACAAGAGTCCTTAACAAAACAAAACAAACAAAAAAAAGAAAAGATCAGAAGTGTTAGTGTATGAATTACACATTCTTGCTGATGAGATTTGGATATGGAAGGTGCAGATCCTGGAAAGGAGAACAAGCAGTTAAGCCGCTGCCTCTGGGCCCCTTGAGGCTTGTGCCAGCCGGTGCATACCTCTGGGATTGCTCAAGTGGAGGCAGGAGAGCTACTTATCTCTTGAGCTTCTATTGTCTCATCTTGTAAGGGGGAAGAAATGCCCTGAGGTCACTCATTTCTTACTTAGTCCAAACAAGAAAGTGGGCTCTAGGATTTCTTAACCTCATCAACACAGTTAAGAGCTACAGAGACTCCCTTCACTCTAAATCAGATTTAACATAACATCCTCTAAGAGCACAATTTCACTTTTAGCTAACCAAGTTCAGCTGACAAAAGGCATGGAAATCTGTCCTTTCATAAGGCTAAATTTAACGTAAAATGGGCCTCCGAAACAGGACTCCTTCATCTGGTAGCTGCAATATTCACCACTTCTGCATTAATATCTTCCATCTACCACAAGAGGCCTCAAATCCAGTGAGCATGGAAAGAGCAGCAACAGTTGACGTACAACCAACTACCTGAACCTTAGAAGAGTCCTGAGAATAGTTCATTGGTGGTGCCAGGGTACTTGAGTGAAATGTCATCACCAGACAGAAACCACCTACAGCTCACATTCTACAGTGCACCATTACAGCACCAGTTCTGGCTGGGGGTAAAATGAAAGCAAGTTTTAAAAAGAGATTGTTTATGTCAGTTCCATATTATAGGCTTAGAAATCTCAATCCAAATCTCAAAATAAGGATACAGAATAGGCAATTTTTTCCCTCCTCCTGACTGCAGGAATACAGAACTAGACAGCATCCAAGGGTTTACAACTATTTCAAACTCTTAAAAATGCTTTAACTTACCATTTTAAACTTATTTCACTCTACGCAAGAAAAGTAACTGCTATAATGATAAACAAGTCTAACATTTCCAGATACTATATTAGTTTGAGTATAGAGAATATGGAATTATAGCACTGAACGCTGCAGCAAGGTGAGGCAGGGGAAAGCAGGGATTCCCTGTCAACCCACTTCACAGTGCTCAAATAGAGCTCAGATTTTTGTAGGGACCCGTCACTCAGATCTGGGACCTCATGCATGGCAGGGAAAGGATGGAAATTTATATTCCCCGGGGTACAATCAGCAGCGATATAACTGGCAACAAATACAGCAACGTCCAAGTTTAAAGCAAGAAGCTATTTGCTATGGCAAGAGCCCAACTGCTCTCTCATACTTCAGAATGTCTATAAGCACCAAAGAAAACCTTAAGACTGATGATCAGCATCCGGATGTCCTTGCTGAACATCCAGCTGTTAAATTACATGCCATTATTACCTATCAAAATGTAAAGTACTTACATAAAAGTTTGGTATGAACCTGTATCTGTGCAAAACTACCTCAAAAATTGTTGGCTTCATTTCTACAGTACAAGAAGGAAGATAATCTAATACCCCCTTTCAATCTGTCCCATTCCCTGTCTTTGATTGTATCTCCAAGAAGTTTTGCTGACCAACACTCAATTTCATCCGACAGCTGCAGGCCACAGTGGCAAGCAGCCTGTCAGTGCAATGTCCTTAACAAGGTGCTTTAACTTCTGGTCAGCCCTGAAGTGCTCAGGCAGCTGGACCCAACGACCATTGTTGGTCCCCTCCACCTGAATAGTTCGTTCTATTCTAATCATCAGTAAACAGAACTCAAAAGAGCAAAGCCATGGTCTCAAAAGCCATGGTGCTTTTAAGACAGAAACAACAATAAAAATGACAAACCCAATGTAGCAATTAAAATCAGATCGAACATAAATCAGTGTCAAATTATACAAAGTTCACATAAACATATGCAAGGTTTGCACTCAAAATCAGTTGTAAAAATAAGTTTTAGTTAACTTGATATACACCTATGTAAGTACTCAAAACCTTCTTAAGAGGGATGACAACACTACGACATTTTTAAAGTGAAGAACATTTATCATTCTCTGTATTTGTTTTCACACCATCTCCACAAAACCTTCATAAAGGGAAAAAAAAGCTCTGAATCACAGGATAAAAATAACTCTTGGTATCCAACACAGTCCTCTGTCCAGCTTGAAAATAAATTTTCTGTTCAGCTTTAAATACAGAATCACAGAATGGCAGGGGCTGGAAGGGACCTCTGAAGATCATTTAGTACAACCACCTGCTAGAGCAGGATCACCCAGAGAAGATCACATGGGATCCCATCCAGGTAGGTTTTGAATGTCTCCAGAGGAGGAGACTCCACAGCCTCTCTGGGCAGCCTGTTCAGTGCTCTGTCACCCTCACAGTATCGCTTTTCCTTACATTTAGGTTGAACCTCCTGTGTTCCAGTTTGTGACCACTGCCCCTTGTCCTGTCACTGGGCACAACCAAGAAGAGTCTGGTCCCACTCTCCCAACACTCACCCTTTAGATATTTATAAGCACTAATAAGATGCCCTCTCAGGCTTGTCCAGGCTGAACAGACCCAGCTCTCAGCCTTCCCCCATATGGGAGACGCTCCAGTCCCCTCACCATCTTAGTGGCTCTACACTGGACTCTCCAGTTGTTCCTTGTCCTTCTTGAACAGGGGAGCCCAGAACTGGACACAGTATTCCAGCTGTGGCCTCCCCACAGCTTGATCTCTTGACCCACTGGCCACAATCTTCTTAACACACCTCAGGATGCATTGGCCTTCTTGGCTGCAAAAGCACATTGCTGGTTGGTCCATGGTCATCCTGCTGCCCACCATGACTCCCAGGTCCTTTTCCCCTGCACTGCTCTCCAGCAGGTCAACCCCCATCCTGAACTGATCCATGGAGCTGATATTCTCCAGATGCAGGACCCTACACTTGCCCTTGTTGAGTTTCATTAAGTCTCTTCCTTCCAACTCTTCACCCTGTCCAAGCCACACTTAATGGCAGCACAGCCTTCTGGAGCGTCAGCCACTCCTCCCAGCTTTGTATCATCAGCCAAACTACCAAGGGTATGCTCTGTCTCACAGTCCAGGTCATTGATAAACGTACTGAACAGAGCTGGACCCAGAACCAGCCCCTCAGGCCTCCAATTAACTAGACTCTGCCCCACTGACCACAACTCTAAGTTCTGCCCTTCAGCCAGTTCCCAATCCACCTCAAAAATTCAACTATTTTAATAATATTAACTGGTTTTACTTTAATCACAGACTACAAGGGTTATGCCATTTACAAATAAAGTAATAAAGTTCATCAGTATGCACTTTCCCAAATCATGAGAAGTTGCAATCATGAGATGGTGCGTACAGCTTGGAACCAAGTATTTGCTAGCATCTTTCTTCTCTACAGAATGTTTTGAATCTCTATATACAAAAAAAAGTATTGAAATGAAGCCATGGTTAATTCTGAAACACCTGGAAACCAAGAGAGCAACAACCACTGAAGGAATAAAAGGCTGTATAACAAAAAAACACCTGAAGATCTACAACAGGACACAGCAGAGACCCCTGAACTGCCATTTGCAACTGGGCAGAGACAGAAACATTAAAATTAGGGTGTCTATCCTTGGGAGACAAAATATGGATCTGTTCTTCAAGGGTCTGAGCTACTGATCACAGAATCACAAAATGTTAGGAGTTGGAAGGGACCTTGAAAGCTCATCTAGTCCAACCCTCCTGCTAGAGCAGGATCACCTAGACCAGGTCACACAGGAACGCATCCAGGCGGGTTTTGAATGTCTCCAGAGAAGGAGACTCCACAACCTCTCTGGGCAGCCTGTCCAGTGCTCTGTCACCCTCACAGTGAAAAAGTTTTTCCTCACGTTCAGATTGAATCTCCTATGCTCCAGCTAGCTCCCATTTCCCCTTGTCCTGTCATTGGCTGTCACTGAGAAGA